TTGTTATATGGTAAAGTTTCATGCCTTACACACTTCATGTTATATGGTAAAGTTCCATGCCTTATACACTTCATGTTATACCGTAAAGTTCCATGCCTTATACACTTCATGTTATACAGTAAAGTTCCATGCCTTATACACTTCATGTTATATGGTGAAGTTCCATGCCTTATACACTTCTTGTTATATGGTAAAGTTCCATGCCTTACACACTTCATGTTATACCGTAAAGTTCCATGCCTTATACACTTCTTGTTATATGGTAAAGTTCCATGTCTTATACACTTCTTGTTATATGGTAAAGTTCCATGCCTTACACACTTCATGTTATATGGTAAAGTTCCATGCCTTATACATTTCTTGTTATATGGTAACGTTCCATGTCTTATACACTTCATGTTATATGGTAAAGTTCCATGTCTTATACACTTCATGTTATACAGTAAAGTTCCATGCCTTATACACTTCATGTTATATGGTAAAGTTCCGTGCCTTATACACTTCATGTTATACAGTAAAGTTCCATATCTTATACACTTCATGCTATAATGTAATATTCTATGCCTTATACACTTCTTGGTATATGGTAAAGTTCCATGCCTTATACATTTCATGTTATACAGTAAAGTTCCATGCCTTATACACTTCATGTTATATGGTAAAGTTCCATGCCTTATACTCTTCATGTTATATGGTAAACTTCCATGCCTTATACACTTCATGTTATACAGTAAAGTTCCATGCCTTATACACTTCATGTTATATGGTAAAGTTCCATGCCTTATACTCTTCATGCCATATGGTAAAGTTCCATGCCTTATACACTTCATGTTATATGGTAAAGTTCCATGCCTTATACTCTTCATGCCATATGGTAAAGTTCCATGCCTTATACACTTCTTGTTATATGGTAGTTAGACTATCCATGACCTTCTCCATCTCTTGTCATTTTGCTGGAGCTATTCTCCTTGGAGGGATCATTATTGGACTGTGATTGCCTTTGTTTATTTTGTGCTCTACAAGGTCTGTGCAGCCAAGGTCATGATCTCCTTTTGAAAAGACGTTTCCATAATTGGCCAAGACTTCTATAACCTGAAAAGCCTGTGATGATGACAAATGGACTATGCTCTTCTTATAGAGATCAGTTAAATATTCTGGGAGAAGATGTCCTTTCTTTATGGTTGTATTTCTTGCCTTAACATTGACTAGCTCTATCTCCTGGCACACACCCAACAATGCCCATTTCTTAAGTGTCTGCTCACATTTAGAGAAATTAGCCACTGTTATAGGTACTACTTGATCACCTGCCACAAGTGACCTTCCAATCTTCACGTCTACTCGCCTGGATGGGTCTTCCACTGCTTCCACAAGCATCTGGCTTCTTTGGGGATGTCATTTTATTCTACCCCAAATTATCATCTCTGGCATATATAGTTGATTTGAGTGCTGTGAAATGCAAATCAACAGATGCAGCAAACGTCATTTTATCAAAGTTAACTACCCACTTCCTCGGTAGTAAATAGTCCAACCCTAACATGCATGGGTCTTCTCTGTCAGTAAAGTACACTTTGTGTCTGTTTTTT